TATATGTAGTGAGCATTACATTTCAATGAAACTTGGTACTTACATACTCAAGGACTATGCAGAGATTGATTGTTTCCGATAAATATTTGTGCATATTAATCACCTAATTTGCATAATTAACCAACTTTCACTCTGATATCTCAGGTACTAAACATCACATACCAATGAATGTACATGTATCACATACCAATGAATGTACATGGATGCTGTAGGACAATAGACAGACCTGGATAATTGTGGGTTAAAATCTGTACATATTAATTACCTAATTTGCATAATTAACCAATTTTATGCTTTCACTCTGATATCTAAAGTACTAATTATTCCATTTCAATGAAACTTAGTACAAAGATGCTCTAGGACAATGTACAAACCTAATTAGTTTGGGGTAAAAATCTGTTCATATTAATTCCCTAATAAGCATAATAATTCATAATTTTTTGGTTCTAATCACATTTTAATTAAACTTGGAAACATAGATTTTCTGTTACATTGCGCAGACCTCATTAGTTTTACACTCAAATCTGATTTGCATAATTAGTTTTCAGCTAAGTAATTTCGAATTATATTTAATGCGTCTCCAATACTCTCAGCACATGGGAGTTCTTTCTAAGCTTTCTTTGATTATCATTCTTTTTTGTTTCAGATACGGGTATTCGTGGGTTTATGGGCAGCATTATTAGTGTACAAAAGAGTTATGACAAGGTTACTGACGGTGCAAGCAGTGCTGGGGCCATGGCAGTTGCTGCACAACAAAAACAAATATTTACTCAAACAGGGATATTGTAAGTATTCAATTCCTATTTTATTAAAAGCTCACATGATTCTGCCATTATAGTCATCATTCTTAGAAAAAATGAAATACACAATGTATTACTTTTTTCATGCGATATGTCCTGATTATGTTTCGTTATTTTCTTGAAGCAAATAAGAAATGCAGGCTGTGTAATTGATAAGCAGGAACAAATTGTCTGTGTAAACATTACAGGCATTGCTCAAATGAAATAGATATACATTTTAGATTTGAGTATATTTAGACACAAAAAAGAAACCTTTTAGTGTGACCTGCTTTTCAGATTTAAGTGATGCATTTAATGCTGTGTCTTTAAGTGAGATTACCTTGCACGCAATCCACTGATATTTTTTCCTGTCTGTTACTTTTATAAATATTTAAGCTTTTCTAAGTACACTGGCCAAACCAGTTCATATAAGTACAATTAGGGTCCTGATATGGCAATTTTATGAAAATATAAAAAAAAAAAAAATTGTGATCAGTATTGAATACTGTACTTTGCAGTATTTAGGCAAATTTGTATACCAAGGCTTCTTCATGAGAGAATACTTCATTAAATTAAAACGTTAAACATTATTTTATATATATATATATATTTTTTCTCTCTTATTTTCATTTTTAATAATATTTTTTTTTTTTTTTTTCATTTCATTTAACTTTATTGTATTATGAACTATATCCCAATTAAGGATACGTTTATCAATAAATATTATTATTATTATTATTACATTACATTTTTTTCCTGACTTCAATGTAATGCAAGTGAAAATAATGTACTTTATATTTTGTGACTGACGTTTTCATTCTTTTTCAGTAATGGACAAACTATTGCAATTAAAAAGATAGAGAAAGTGAGTTTTTCTCTCACCAAGTCATTGCGTAAAGAAATCAAACAAGTCAGGTAGGTTAAAGATTACCTATAACATGTCAACATTCAGTCACTTCTAGGGAGGACGGAAGGAGGGGGGGGGGTGTTTCTTAAACAGTGGTATCTTAAACAGATTTCAAATTCTATCATAACATGTTTTGTTGAATCTAAATTATTATACTAGTATTTTCTTTCATGTGTCTTGAAATTATACCACCAATGAAAATTGTTTTGATAAATATAAATGTTTTTTCTTATTTTTTCTGGCAAATCAGAACTCTTGTCAAAAAAG